ATATAATTATCGTAAATATAATTTTACGATAAAATAGATTCGTTTTAAATATTAAAAGTATAAGTTTTAGATAATTATTAAATAGTCTTATTGAGTAATATATAAGAAATTATTCGTCGAAGTTCTTCTATTAAAGGTCTCGCTTATTATAAATAAATTTATTTACGCGTAGAAATATCGCGAAGACGAGATAAAAGAAAGTATATAGAGTTACTCTAATATAGATTAACTTATCGAAATAAGAAAGAATTTAAAGTAATAGATTCTTAGTAATTAAACGTCTTTTCTTTATATTAGCTTCGCTATAAAGATATTAATTATCTATAATAATACGTTATAATTAAGAATAATAAAATATTAAGAGATTATTAAATCTTATATTTATATAGACTAATCTAAGATCGATAAGATATATCTTTATAAATTTCGATTTAACGCGACGAGTATTTAGATTAATAATTTAGCCTATAAAAGTATTTATAGTTATTAAAAAGAGAGGTTAGATCTCTATAAGTGCGTAATAAATTATATAGAATCTTATTAAAGTTATATATATCTTTCTAATTTTAATAATAAACCTCTATTAGAGAAGTCGTATAGTCTCTTAAAGTAGTATAATCTAATTATACTAATATTCTAATAAATCTCGTCTTATTTTAGCGGAGATATAAGATCTTTCAGCTATAGATATACGTTAGCGATTTTTTAATATTAAAAATATAATAGATTATCGACTAGCTAGTTAGTCTTCGTAGATATTTAAATAAGTATTATTATAATATCGTAAGTAGTTATTAGTATAGCTATATCGCGTAATAGAGCTATAGCTAATCTATATATAAAGAATTTATATAATCTATTAACGTATACGTCGTTATCGTAGTAGAGAATTAAGCGAGATTCTCGTAACTAATATAGCTATAGCTTTATCGCGTAATAAACGATCTTTATTTCTTTAAATTATATATCTTTAAAATAGTAATATATAGCTATTTTAATACTAAAAACGTTTTTAAGTTAAATCGATTAAATATAATCGAAATAATTGAGAATATAGTCTTCTATATCGAATTTTTTAAACGTATCGATTTATATATACTATATAACTCGACTATTAATATAATATATTAAGGCGACGCTATTTTAATACTTTAGAAAGATATTCTACTATAGTAAGTTTGCTCTTATATCGCCTATAATCTATACGATTATTATAAGTCTTTAAAGAATATTAAAAAGTCGTCTTAAGAATACTCTTTTTAAAATTATAACTTTAATAATAAAAGAGAGAAAGCTAATTACTAACTCGAGCTTCTAATATAAAATAATTATTCTTTTTAAAAGGTTTTTAATCGTAATTCTCATCTTAGCTAGCTTATTCGAGAAAAGTCTTATCTTTATATAAATATTATCGAATTCGATTCTTAGAAACTCGACTATAAAATCTATAATATTCTTTATATAATTAATTTAAAGATCTAATTCGCTATATAGCTAGTTAAATTATTAAATATATATAATTATATTATTATCTAATAAAAGAATTATAAAGAAATCGTTTAAGTAATAAAGTACTACTTCTTATAGAAGAATCGCGATTAAGATTTAAATAAGGGCCTTTATAAAGAGATTAAATAGAAATAGTAATATACGTAGTTTAAATAATAGATATCGTTCTTTTTAATAGCATTTATTGTAGTTAAAATTAAATAGCTATTAATTCGATTTAGCGATAAGTATATATCTAAAGATATCTCTAAGATCTCTTTTAACGAATTAAACCCTTAAATCTTTCTATAGTAGTATTACTACTACGTTATCGTATATAATATATTTTAATATATCTTACTTCGTCTAAATATCGTTATTAACTAAATAGTCGTATAAAAATAAGAGGTTATAAATTCGTCTTTAATCTTTATCGTATTTTGATATTAATTCGAATAGCGAATAGATATAATAGAACTCGTTTTAAGAATTAACCTCGATTAGGCGATACTATTAAAGCTATTTTTAAAGATTCATTAATAGTATTTAAGATACTTAACGTATTAATAGATAATTTTAATTACGATAGACTAAGATAAAGTCTTAAAAATCTATCTTAACGCCCTTTTAAAGAATAGTTAAAATAATCTTAATAAATATTAGATTCGAGTAATCGTTTAACTATTTAAATTAATTATTAATTATTAATAATTCTTAATAAAGTAAATTCGAGTTTAGTAAGTTATATAGCGTATATAAAAACTTCTTAAATATATATTATAGCGATTATAGTATTTATAAATATTTTAAAAGTTATTCTAGTCTAATAATATAATTATCTAGTAATAATTAATTAAAAATACTTATCGCTAGATTTTAGATCTTAAAATATTTATCTAATAAGTAATTTTATTAATAGATTAAATAGATATATAAATAAACGCAGCGCTCGCGAAAATAGCTATCTCTATTAAAACTTTTATAAATTCTAGATTCTTTAATTATAATAGACTTATTAGAGCTAAATATATTAATATTTAACTTACTATTACTTATATAAATTTCTTTAAATATAAGAAGATCTTTATAGCTTTAATCGTTCGCTTTCTAAATCTTAAGATTATTTTAATTATTCTAAATACGTATAGTAATAAAGGCGAGATAATAAGCGAGAATAGAGTTAAATTTATAAATAAGAGATAGTCGTAATAAGCGAATAGTATATATATAAAGAGTTTTATTTAAGTTTTTCTTTACGCTTATATAAATAAAGCGATTAATAGCTATCGAGTATATAAGAAAGTAGTATATTATATAATTATAATCGTTAATATTTTTATTCTCTTTAGTCGAGATAATATATATATAAGCTAGCTTAGCGAAGTTTTTAGTCTTAAAAATTCTAAAGAAGATTTACTTAAAGTATTTAACGTTTATACTTTAAAATCTTTTAGTAATATTAAGAAAGAACTTCTTATCTTTTAAATAACGAAATAGAATCTCTCTTCTTTTCTTCTAATTCGACTTAAAGTCGAAAGAGTTTATATTCGATATATTCGAGTAATAATAACGATAACTACGATTATAGCGATAATAATAGCGATATAACTTATAAATCTAATTCTTATAAGAAACTCGGCCCTCGTAACGATAGCGATAATTTTATTTCTCTTAGACCTTAAATAGCTAAGCTATTAATTTTATAAGGTCTACTTTAAACCCCTTAATAGATGAAGGTATTTCGTCGATCTCGTTCGAGATAATAATTCTCGATAGCGTTTCTAATATAAAGATTTTATCGCGAGGGGGAGATATTTTAACCTTAATAGCCTTTTTAATCTTAAGAGCCTTAGAGGTCTTATTAACGACGTTAAAGGTCTTTTTAATAATCTTAAAGGCGAGTATAACTCGTATAATCGCTTTTTTAAATCTAATAGTAGTAGCGAGAGTTATTAAGAAGTATATAAAAGTATAAAGTATATTTATAATAGTTGAAAAGTGCTTATAATAGTTAAATAAAGGCTAATATATATAGACTTAACTACGAAAAGAAGAAGAATAATAATATAGCTCTAAAGAGAATAATTCGAATAAAGAGCCTACTTCTAGTGCAGTGGCCATACAAATAGTACTCGCTATATTCATCTATCTCTCTACTATCGCATATCGCATAGTCGCATAATGGTGAAACGGCTGATTAAATAGCTATCAACGCTATGGCCTCATAATAGACCCACTAACTCACAGTCCCACTGTTACGAGTATGGGAGAAAGGTGAATATTTATCTACTTATAAGGCCTATTAACACCGATCTTCTCACCGATGCTAGCGGTCTAATTATAGTAATTTTTTAGAAAGGTAATAGTAAATAGTATATTAACACTCTTACATATATTAGCGAATTTTGATATATACGGCTAATATTACGGCTTAGCAATGGTTATATGCGGTGCGGGCCCTTATTCTACTACTATTGCACTGCCTTTAACCCATTTATAACGTACTCTAAGCATTACGTCGTCGCTCTAAAGGATTACTTTAAAATTAATGAAGTGGGAGGAATTTATCTGAACTTGAAGTCTCTCACAATCGGATGTATAGGGCTAGCGTAACCTTTTACCAAAATTAGGTGGGGCCGAAAGCTTAACGTGTAGATCGTGCGCGGGAGGCTTTTTTAGTTTGACGGGGGACTGTCGGAGGGGGACTGTCCGAAGATAAGTTGCAGAGTGGGGTGCATTGGAATATGCTACATTCGACGATGCGGTGGCCGCACTGCTCCAGCAAGGCCGAGGGGCCATGCTTGTCAAGCGAGACCTGAAAGACGCATTTCGACATATACCGGTAACGGTGTCAGACCGATGGCTATTGGGCTTCTCATGCGATGATTCCTATTGGATGGAACGATTTCTACCATGCGGCCTACGGATATCGCCTTTCCTATTCGATCTATTCGCCAAAGCAGTCAATTGGATCATGGTGGCGGTCCTTCACTGGGCAATCGTGCTCCACTACCTCGACGATTTTTTCGCTATCCTATCTCCGTGGGCCGACAGCGTGGCATATGGCCAGGCCTTCGATCAGGTATGCAATGATTTGGGCCTCATGGTGAACCATACCAGGGACATTATGGGTACTATTACGAATTTTTCTGGGAATTGAACTAGACAGCAACTTGATGCAAGAAAGACTCGCCCCGCACAAGCTCGATCGAGTGAGAAGCACGGTAGAAGACCTCCTAAAAAGGGCAACAATCCCACATCGAGAGCTCGAGTCAGCGGTCGGTTTCCTGTCATTTGCTGCGAAAATTGTGATCCCAGGAAGGGCCTTCCTGAGCCGCCTTTCTGACGCTATTCGGAGGCCGGTGGCCTGCATACGGATCACGCCCGATATGAGGGCCGACCTACTATGGTGGCAAACCTTTCTGAAGGACTGGAACGGCCTGAGCCTACTCCGTAACGTCGCCGACCGTCACACATGGCATATTTAGACTGACGCATCGGGGAAACTCGGTATGAGCGGCTACATAGTAAAACACCCGAACCTATCGCCATCCCTTCAGGACGTTTTCAGCGAACAAGTACCCAAACGGGACCTCCGTAAGGACATTCAGTTCAAGAAAATGAAGGCCGTGGGCCATGCGATCCGGACATGGCTGGATAGGCTCCATGGATCTCGTCTGATCCTTTACTGTGATAATGACGCTTGTGTAATGGACTTCAGAAGTCTTCCATCCGAGGGCCGGCGATGATACCACTACGGGATATGGCCATGCTCATGGCGACGTACGATATCCATATGGTCCCTACATGGATACCCACCAAAGCGAATCAATTGGCTGAGGATCTTTCACGTTTTCGATATCGAAAAATTGCTGACAATAATCCACAGCTGAGACACCTAGCTACCTTTCTGCCTCGCTAGGGTGGGACCCACCAGAATCATGGTACAGTCAGACCCCTTTGTCTAGAGAGGCCGCTCGTCTCCTCTGGTGGGGATTAGCGAGTAAAACCCGGAAGACTTACTCAACTCCAACTAACTCCTACAGTGCTCACTGTGCGATGCATGGCCATAGCGCCCCATGTCCAGCCACTATGGCCTCACTATCCAGCTGGGTCACCGCCCTTAACGCCAAGCGGATCAAGGCCAAAACGATTAAAGCATACCGCACCGGCGTCAAATCCACACATGTGGACCTTGGGTATGAAATCTAGAGGTTTTTCAGAGCCCAGAGCTCGAACGGATCGTAGCCGGTGTTCGCTGGCTACGAGGTGAGGCCGGTACAAAAGAAAGGTGTCCATTGACAAAGGATAAGCTCCTCAGGCTACTACCTCAGTTCGATCAGTCCACAAAGGAGGGGTCGATTATGCATGCCGCCTTTTGTCTGGCATTTGCCGCCTTCCTTCGGATAGGCGAGTTTACCTACTCAATGCGTGACCGGCAGGACGAAGATTTCAGCAAATAATTCCTTACCCGCCGGTCGGTGAGGCTATACGAGGATCACCTCCAAAACGGACCCAGTTCGACAAGGGATCACCCTTACCGTGGCCGCTACCGACGATGAGGCGTGTGTAGTGGGGGCACTGCGACACTTGTTTCAGGAGTGGCCGGCGTCACCCACGTCACCGCTATTCAAGCTAAATGGTCAGTTTACTAGGGATCTAGTTACCTCTACCCTTCGTCAGGCATTGAGATCTATCAGTGTGGAGGGCCATTTTTCAGGCCATTCACATCCGCACGAGAGGCCGGCCTCAGTGACGAAGAAACTCAGCTATTGGGAAGGTGGAAGTCGGACTCCTATCGTCTATACATCGTGACTCACCCAGCCCAAATACTCACTGCATCTCGTCGGCACCAGCATCTTCCGTACCTACAGCGCTAGTGATGGCGATTCTCGCCATGGACGTCCTCGGTAAGGACGTCACTTGGGGTTTGGGAGTTATTTTGCGCTGGGGTACGAGAATATGCTTGTTCAGGCCTCTATTTTGGCCTGTTCAGGCCTGCTGTCCCCGGCGTGAGGCAGCCCAAGCACTACCTACACTATTGGTCCCCTATGTGTGCATGTACTATTTGCAGTGATGGCACACTACGACCTAGACTGTGAGCAAATGAATATTATTACCGTATTCCTTAATGCACTGCTGAAGGAAATCATCTATGTGGAACAGCCCAAAGGGTATAAGAAGAAAGGCAATAAGGTATGTCTGCTGCTTAGAGCACTATATGACCTAAAGCAGTCGCCACGAGAATGGTACTTCACCCTACGGGACTTCCTTGTATCCAAAGGATTCAAACCTACCGAATCCGATCACTCACTCTTTGTTAATGAGAAAACACGACTCATCGTTAGCGTGTATGTGGACGATATCTAGATTTATGGTCCAAAAGGATCAAAACAGATATCGGAACTCAAATAAGACCTCCACAAGCGATTCGCCAAGACCGATCTCGGCCCATGCTCATACTATTTGGGTATGGAAATTCAGAGAAACCGCAAGCAGAGGAACGTTCGGATCACCCAAACGACGTACCTAAAGAAGGTACTGTCACGATTCAACATGACTGACTATGCATCTACCCCTACACCAATGATAGTGGGCACTCAGCTACAGGAGGAACTGGTCGATAAGGCCAAACCAGAAGTTATTCAGGATAGTGCCTTCTCGCTTAACGTCCCACGAAAACTACACGCACAAATGAGTTCTAAACGATGATTGGCTAGGTCCTAAGGCTCAGCAGCACGTAGACAGCGATCCACTATGCAGCTCGGCCCTAGGAAAACTCCCTCTACGTAAGGCAGAAGACCTGGAGTCTAAGTACAAGGACACGCTGGAAAAAACAAGGCGCGGATGGGTGGGAAAAGTCCAAAAAACCTCTTCTTGCGACGAGGGACACAAGAATGAGGAGCAAAGAACAGGAGGGACACCGCCTATTCAAGGTCTCAGCGTAGCACAGCAGTGGTGATAGAAAGCATGTAGATTCAGTGGTGGGGCCATCAGCTATTATGTAGCTGATGGAGAACAAAGCACTGCTATCTATGGCTAGCTACATGAAAGGAACAATGATGGAATATGCATGGAAGGATGTAGAAGGGACGCATGCATAGAACATGGAAGGAACTAGACACGCTGACACAAGGCTCTTCCAACATGGCAATCTCGGTTATCCTGCCATAAGTGTGCTGTGCCACTCCCTCACTAGCCCCCAGTCAAGCTGTGGCGAATAGGGCTGAGAACTTCGGCTTAATAAAAAAACCAGGTCTGAATGCTAATTAGACACCCATTGAGTCAGTGTAAGGGTGGAAGTACTCGGAGCGAACTGATAGGCTCGCTTGCGTCGCTTGCCAGGCTGCAAGCTACGCAGCTAGGGCGAGTATCCAACATGCTTGGCAAAGTCTTAAATACTTGCGAGTCCCCTTTCCCCTTCTTCTTTCTTTAGTTATTAGTTCATCTAGCAACTGATCTATCTATTCTATCAACTACGCATCCAGACCTCGTGATTGCATAGCTGCTACGCAGTTCCATTGAAAGAGGCCTTGCTACCTCACAGTCAGGCTGAATCGACTGATATCTCTCGATCTATATGTCTAGTTGAGCACTGCATGCAAGGACCGTCAATAGAAGTGAGCTTAGAGGGAGAATAGGTGGCAGCAATGCATGCAGCGGGGTTGCCCTCGGGCGTTTTAGGTAGGCGCTTTTCATCACATGTATATAGCCAGCAATCACTTCAAATGGACGTGGGGCAAAGCTCGTTCCTATGCTATCCTATCGCAAGCAACCCCCCGAGACAGCTCCGCAGGCATGACTGCATGCACATGCCACACCGCACCGCTCCCCCCACACCATCCACCACGAAAGAGACGAGACCGCCAGCAGACAGCACCGAACCAGGCCAACACACACCATCCTCCCTGCCGCCAAATGGCTGCATGCAGCCCAGGATCGGTCCAGCTCGGGCGAAGGGGGGTTCAGGGTAGAGCACACCGGAGGAGTTTCCAAAAAAACGGGCACCACGGACGGCGAAACCAGTGCCATGGCGACTGCTAGGAGTCTCCGTTTGCACGGGCACGTCGAGGTAAGCTCCACCTCCGGGTACTAGCAGTGGCACAGTATGAGACTTCACCTCTGCGTCGGTCATGCCTTGGTACTTGGCGATGTAGTTAACGTCCTCGTGCTTGTATGCAGTCTTTTTGTGGTTTAAGTTACCACCAGTAACCACCTTGCCGAGCGGTGACTCCTTCGAAATGCGCCTATTGATGCCGTTTTTGACATCCCGAGAGTCTCGGGACGAGGAACCCGACTTATCGAAGGACGTGCTCGCTGCTGACAAGTGGATTGTGCTTGGTTACATTCGTGGTTTCTCACAGGCCTCTCATGATGCTACTAAGGCAATCGAAGACCACAAAGCTACCTTGGAACAAATCCTTGCCACCATGGATTTCTAGCTCAGCGTTTTGAGAAGGCCATAGAAGAATTCGAGGATCACGCTTTCATGCGGGAGTCTCTTCATGCCGGGTTCACCAAGCTACTAAAGTACTAAAACAAGACCGAAAGATCACCAGCATACATCGCGGCAATTGTCCTTGATCCTACCAAGAAATAGTCCAATTTCGAGCGGTGGAATCCTACCTAGCAACCGAAGATGAAGGCTACAATAGAGAGGTGTTGGGGGACCACATATCTATCCTCTACCGATTTAGCCAATTACACGTCCACTTCCACCTATGCTTCTACTGCAGCAAGCGACAATCAATTTATTCAATGGCTGAATGAACAGGATGAGGAGCAGTCTGTTGTTAGTGACGAATTTGATAGATATAGTGGTGAGTTTCGCATACGCCGCAAGGAGGGACGGACAGCACTCGATTGGTAGCTGGAACCAGAGCAACGGGAGCGATTCCCTCTACTATCAAAGATGGCCATTGACATCTACTCTATACCTGCCATGTCTGCGAAGCCGGAACGTGTATTTTCAGGGGCTAAACGTACGATTTCAGATCAAAGAGCTAGTCTTAAGGTTAAGATTATAGAGCTATTGGAGTGCCTAAAGTCATGATTTCAATTGGGTCTCTTTACGGAGGAAGATCTACATGCTATTGTCAGTATTCTGGAGGAAGATGCTTTGGAAGCTATGGAGGAGTAGCTGGACTAGTCCGTGGACTGGTCTAAATCTACTTGGACGGTTTAGCATTGGACGGACTGTGGACTGTGTGAATAGCTTCATTTTAGACTAATCTAGGCCTGTGGACGGACTAGTTAGACTATTGGGAGCATTGCCCGAGCCCCATATACTGCGTTGGAGCGGTCTGCATGCTGACCAGCTTGCTTCCAGGTGCCTAGCAGTAGACCCAGCGGATCGAGGCGACGTTTCGTAGGCGTTCCAGGCATGGCAGCATAGGTGGGGTGATTGCTAGCAGTCTCGAAGGGGGGCTGGGGCGGAGGCGGAGTACGAAGGCGCGGAGGGTTAAGGGTCGGCTCAAAGGGGCCCTAGTCCATCAGGTCGGGGTGCTCACGAGCGAAGCCAGAATGGCCAGAGAGATCGGGGACAAAGTTGTCAGTCTCCATGGGGTCTCCTTCGTCCTCGGAGTCAATGCAGAAAGGATTGGATTGAGAGCCGGGGATCCCGGCGCCTTGCTTGCGTGCGGTGTCGTACTCATCAGGCACCTCTTCGACGCCGGCAATATAGTATTTAGGGGCACTGCGTGCAGCTGTTAGCATGCTCGCATCAAAAGAGAGAAAGAGAGTACTTACGGCGAGCACTGCTACGAGTTGGGATGAAGGCTTCGGGTGAGCCCGGCTCCGCGAAAGGGTTCCAGACCTGCTTGGATTTTACCCTCCATGCATCCTGCAGGCGTGCGAGACCGGCATCGTCCAGACGCCAAAGAATCTTCTGGGCAGTGTTCATGAGAGCCCATGTCGGGATCTTACGGCCTTGAGTCTTTGCACTGCTAGCAGTGCCACCCCCGAAGGAGTGGGGCATGAGCTCAGTTGTGAAGTGCGAGCAGAGCGCACGACGGTCAAGAACAGGACCATTTGCATGCAGTCCGAAGATAGCAAAGACGTCAAGGTTGGCCTCCCCTTTAGCTAACTGCTCGCTGAAGTAAGCTCCGTTGGCTTTAGGGTCAACATTGATAGGCGTGAATTGAGCCATAATGAAGGATAGCAGCTCAGACGAGGATAAAGCAAGAGGGAGAGACAGTGTAGGACTGCTAGCAAGGTGATGAAGGCTGAGGTAGAGGATTTGAAGGTAGTAGTGGTTGAGGTAGGAAGGTATGGAGCTGGAAGATATGAAGAGTAAGTGAGGTTTGGGCGACATATTTTATGGGTCTGCTAGTAGTCTAGCCCTTCTATACTTAGCGCACTTGGGCGTGAGCGCTACGTAGTCTATAGAAAGGTGCGTCTTTACTCTACAATAATAAGATATTATATGGTTTTACATCAAAAGAGATAGAGTACGGAATAGGATAGAATCTACAATGGATTAGTTAGGGCTGAAGTGTTTAACTGAGGGTCGCTGAGTCTTGGTACGAAGAATATCAGAAGGCGTCAGAAGATGTGCAGCTGCATGTTCCGAGCTTTCATATTGCGTCTGAGTTGACGAGATCGCTGCTGCCTTCTGGCAGAATCTTGCTACGGGACTTCGCACCAGCTAGGTTACTCGTTGCTTTTGATATTGCTGGCTTCGCCTGAGAGGATGGTCCAGTCTTGGACTCGTCGTTTCTGGTATTGCTGGCTTCATCTGAGAGGATGGTCCAGTCTTGGACTTGGTTGTGGTCTTGGGGGACTTCCTAGGCTTCTCATCCGCGCCCTCACTACCATCCGCCTTCTTTCGTTTGTTCGACTTGAGCTTGGATGTTTTAGGCTTCCTGCCATTACCCAACGCCAGTCCTGGTTCGTCATCTCCTTGGCTTGCATCTCCTTGGCTTGCAGATTCATCATCGGCTTCCTCGTCCTCGCTTGATGACATCCTAGCTTCGAAGTCCTTGTCCTTTACCGTGTCAACCACTCTGACTAACAGATCCTCCTCCCTACTCTTCCCTCGTTTCTTGGCCGCCTTCTTCCTCTCACGTTCCCCATCTTCCAATTCGCCAAAGTAGCGGTCCAGAGGTGTGAGCTCTCCTCACTCCCATCGACTAGATCTTCTTCCAACTCACTTAGGCCCTCTGGCCTAGGTGCTTCATCCCCAGTCCAGTTGTGTCGTTCGCAAAAATCGAGGGCTCTTTTCAGGCCTCGCTCTTCGGGTGGGAGGTCTCGATCATGCACAAGATCGTCCAATGCTTCTGCAGCGGCTTCAGCGTCGAACTCGGGAGGATCTTCGTTCCGTTCATCTCCGATCTCAAGGTCCTCTGAAGTAGTTGCTGGCGGTACGTCTTGTGGTACCTCACTCGGGCCCTTATCTTTGAGAGTATCAGCTGGTGAGACGAACATTTGCGGAGTGTTGGTTAAGCTTTGATATATCTCCATGGTGTCCAGGTGCGATCTCGTAGGACTCAACACGACCATGGTTCGAGATGAGAATCAGTTGAGTTTTGATCCAGAGTCGGAGGTCCTTGAAGGTTGCTGTCTGTCTTTTCTTCTCTTGCTTCCTTGACCTCAATTCTTATTCACTATGCCCCTTATCAACGCCAAAAGCAAAAACAGCAAACAAGTCAACGCAGTCGTGCAGAAATGTGTCGGAAAGATGGAGGTTTCATTCAGGAAGGTTCACTCTTCACCTCTTCACTTCTGGTGAACCCTAGCCCTAGCCTCGGGTAACTCGCGCTGAAAGTGAATGAAGCATCGATGCCTACCTTATGTGCTCGCATCAGGAATCGTGTTTCTGTCGAGTGCTGATCTTTGCGCCGTTGGTCAGGTTGGTTGCATCAGGAGGCTCGTAGATTCGTAGGGCTCGAAGATATAGAATTCGTTTGGCTTATGAGTGGGTTGCTGTCCTGCCAGGAACCTTGGGTGGAAATAGCCATAAGCAGGCGACCCATATCGCGACGATAATTTGGTTGATTCCAGCATGTAGCAGCACCTTGAGTAGTAGTAGTTATTCATGGATGAGGCCCGAAGGCCAGCATCAGGGTCCCAGCCGAAGGCTATGCCCCACTAGGAGAGTTCCCCGGTCACGGGTGCCACCCCGGGGCCTATTTCTCTGTCCTAGAGCCACTTCTGAGGACCAAACGCCTATCAAGCTCGGTGGAAGACTTGAGAAGGTTCCCTGTCGAGGCGCCCTCGAGGAGATTTCTCTCAACCCGAAGACTCCTCTAGGTACTTCCGTCGACTGTCCCCTTTGTCCCTTTTGTCCCTCGTCCCCAGTAGCGACTAAAGAAACGACTGAGAAGTAGCTCTCGTCCCTGGCGGTGTGTGCATGGGGGTGACCCCCCTTGAGTGTCATGATGCCGGTCGGGGTAAATTACCGAATCATACCCCGAAAGTACGAATCCTTACCGAGTCATACTCGTTTCCACCCCCATTTGCACGCTCTAAAATCCGACAAATCCGACATAGATAGCCACTACAACCATAGCTACTACTATTATTTATTTAAATAATCTATTACTATATACTATTATAATAGCTAATATTATAAGATTTAAATAATTTACTATTATATTCTATTATAATAGACAAGTTTAGGCCTATAAATTAAATTCATATAAAGTAATTAATTTTTAAATCTAGTTTCGAGATTGAATTCTAATTTCGAGATTGAATTCGACTCTCGAAGAGTAAAAATACTTTAATTTAAAATTTACTTAGAATTATAAGATCGAATTTTATAAATCTTAAATTATTAAAAAGTATAAAATATATTCTATAATTAATAAAAATAATAGAAAATTTAATAGAAAAAAGAGAAGTTATATTAATAATAAGTTTATTAGAGAGTTAATTAACTTTAAATTAATTTAGATTTAATTAATAAGAAGTTAATTTTAATATCTATTATAATTAATTTATATTAATTATTATTATTATTAAGATAATTTTTATAGATTTTATAAATTTACGATTATTAGAATTTTATAATTTTATAATTCTTTAGCGAGGGAGATTAATAGATTTAGATCGAGAACGAAGTAAAATAGTTTTAAATTTTATTAAAATTATTATTACTAAACTATCTAAGTTTATATTAAAGAATATTCTTAATAGAGTAAATAAGTTTTTAATAAGTAATATTTAAATTTCTTATCTTTAAATACTTATAAGATTAAATTTAATAACTTCTTTTTTATTAAAACGTATAAGTTATATTCTATAATTTCTTAAAAAAATTAATAGAAAAAGAGAAGTTATAAACTTATATAAATGATAAGTTTTTAAAGAGTTAATTAAATTTAATATCTATTATAGTTTATTTATATTAATTATTCTTATCTTTATTTTTATAATTTATAGAATTTTTATTAATTTTACGAATTTTACAACTTTACGATTTTGAGATTTTACGATTTTACGATTTTATTATTTTTTAGCGAGGGAGATTCATGAATTCGAACCGAGGGCAGAGCGGAATAATTCCAAAATTTATTGAAATTATTATCACTCGACTATCTAAGCTTATATGAAAAAATATTCTTAATAGACTAAATGAGTATTTAATAAGCGATATTTAAATCTACTATCTTTAAACATTTATAAGACTAAATTAAAGAATTCTTGTCTTCTTAAAAAGCGTAAATTATATTCTATAATATAGAAAAGAAATCTTAAAATTTGAATAGAAAATAAAAAAGTTATTCTGAAATTAAATAATGTGCACTTATTTTTTAATCAGGGCTGTCGAGCGAACTTTAATGAGCGATATTTGAATTCCTTGCGCTTTAATAATTATAAGATCGAATTTCATAATTTTATCATTATTGAAAAGTGTAAATTGCGGGCTATAATTATCTAAAATTTTTAATAGAAAATAGTAAAGTTATTAAAGGGTTAATTAAAAGTAGAATAAGAGATTTTAATAGTTGCGAACGCTAATTTATTTATCCGCGATAATCGATAACTTAGTCGATCTAACTAAAGAGCGTAGCGAACCCGAATTTATAATTAACTATATATATAAATTTAAGATTTTATAGCTTAGCTCTATCTTATTCTTTTATATATACTAATAAGATTATAAGATTATAATTACTATTTATAAATTTAATATAATAGATATTTCTACTCTAGACGTAGTATTAATAAGAGAAATATAAAAATATAATAATATATATAAAAGAATAAGGTAGGGCTAAGTTAAAAACCTTTGAATTTGTATATATAGCTAATTATAAATTCGAGTTCGCTACGCTCTTTGATTAGATCGGCTAAGTTAGCTCGATAGCCCTTCTAAGCTCTCTTATTAAAAATATAGATGTACGTTATTAACACATAGAATAAATTTTTTATTTTTTATTAAAATTTTAAGATTTTTTATTAAAATTATAGAACAAAATCTAGGCTCTTAGATAAAAAAAGAATTTCTAAATTTAGTCTCATAATTATTAAAGCGTAAGGAATTCAAATATCGCTTATTAAAGATCGCTTATCAAATTTACTCGACAGCCCTAATTAAAAAAAATGATTATGAATTTAATTTATAGGCCTTTACTCGTGTAATAATATAATAATACGAGTAAAGGCCTATAAATTAATATTATAATTATATTTTTAATTAGAGCTATCGAGTAAATAGGTAAGCGAACTTTAATAAGCGATATTTGAATTCCTTGCGCTTTAATAATTATAAGACTAAATTTGAAAATTTCTTTTTTCTCTAAAAGCCCATATTTCGTTCTATAATTTTAAAAAAAATCTCAAAATTTTAATAAAAAATAAAAAAGTCATTCTAAAATCAAATAATGTATACCTGATTTTTGATAAGGGCTATCTGGCTATATTTTTTTAATGATTACGAACTCTAATTTATTTATTTACGATAACTTAGTCGATCTAATTAAAGAGCGTAGTAACTTTAAATTTATAATTAACTATATAACTAATATATAAAAGAATAAGATAGAACTAAGCTTGAAAATCTTAAATTTATATGTGCAGCCAATTATAAATTTTATAGATCTACGCTTCTTGGTTAGACACCGCGGGTAAACAAATTAGCGTTCGCAATTATTAAAATCTTTTACTCTACTTTTAACCCTTTAATAACTTTCACTAGATTTCTTTTTTAAATTATAGCCCGCAATTTACGCTTTTTAATAATAAGAAAATTACGAAATTTAATCTTATAATTTTTCAAAGGTATTAAATTCAAATATCGCTTATTAAAGTTCGCTCGCCAAATTTGCTCGACAGCCGGTAGCCCTAAGTAAAAAATAGGTGTATATTATTTAATTTTAGAATAACTTTTTAGTCTTCTATTAAAATTTTAAAATTTCTTTTTTAAATTATAGAACGTAATTTAATCTTTTAAATAAAAAAAGAATATTTAAATTTAGTCTTATAAATATTTAAAGGCAAAGAATTCAAATATCGCTTACTAAAGATCGCTTATCAAATTTACTCGACAGCCCGAGGCGGCCCTAATCAAAAAAAATGGTTATGAATTTAATTTATAGGCCTTTATACTGTACTAAGATATAATATTATAATAATAAAATAATATTAGTATATATAAGTTTAGACCTATAAATTAAATTCATAGAAAATAATTAATTTTTAAATCTGATTTCGAGATTGAATTCGACTCTCGAAGAGTGAAAATACTTTAATTTAAGATATACTTAGAACTATAAGATCGAATCTTTATACTTTTTAAATTATTAGAAAACGTTAGATATATTCTATAATTAATTAAAATAATAGTAAAATTTAATAGAATAAAGAGAAGTTATACTTAATAATAAGTTTATAAAGAGTTAGTTAACTTTAAATTAATTTAGATTTAATTAATAGAAAGTTAATTCTAATATCTACTATAGTTTTTTTATAATAATAATAATTATTTTTATTTTTACAATTTATAGAGTTTTTATTAGTTTTACGATTTTTATAATTCTACGATTTTACGATTTCTTAGGAGGGAGATTCATGAATTCGAACCGAGGGCGGAGCGGAAATAGTTCCAAAATTTATTGAAATTATTATCACTTAACTATCTAAGCTTATATGAAAAAATATTCTTAATAGACTAAATAAGTATTTAATAAGCGATATTTGAGATCTACTATCTTTAAACATTTATAAGACTAAATTAAAGAATTCTTTTTTTCTTAAAAAGCGTAAATTATATTCTATAATATAGAAAAGAAATCTTAAAATTTGAATAGAAAATAAAAAAGTTATTCTGAAATTAAATAATGTGCACTTATTTTTTAATCAGGGCTGTCGAGCGAACTTTAATGAGCGATATTTGAATTCCTTGCGCTTTAATAATTATAAGATCGAATTTCATAATTTTATCATTATTGAAAAGTGTAAATTGCGGGCTATAATTATCTAAAATTTTTAATAGAAAATAGTAAAGTTATTAAAGGGTTAATTAAAAGTAGAATAAGAGATTTTAATAGTTGCGA